GAAAGTTGTATTTTTCATCGTTGCTACATCACACCCTGACTGGCTCGTCTCCTCCCTGTGACCCCTCTGCAAGGGCATGATCAAGGATAATGTAACAAAGAGGAATTGCTGAAGCCCTAGATGCTATTTTATCTGATAGCCAGGGACCATCTAATTCTTTGCCACATTTTACTATTGCACCATATCTTTTGTGTTCCCTTCCTGAAGGCAAGTAAATACATCGATTCTTATTTGGTCTTCCTTATTCGTTGTCATGAAATGTCATAGACAGGGTCAGGTGCACCTTAGTCCTCAAACTGACATGCTTTTGAATACTCTAAAGACTCTTTTGCAGCAGATTTCCCTAATGCAATATGTCATTTCATTTATTAACTACTGTCTCAAGGTCTGTTAATTGTGGACCCAAGTAAAATGAAATCTCCATTTACCATGATGTTGTTTATTGTGAGGAATTTTATTTCTCTTGGCTAAGGTGTAATTCATATAGAGGGCTATAGTGTTTGCTCATCAGTAAGCTCTTCAAGCCTTTTCTTTAAGCAAGCAAACTTGTGTTATCTGCATATCAATGGTGGGTAATGAGTCTTTCTCCAATACTGATGCCATGTTCTTCTTCATATAGTTCAGTCTCTTGAGTTGTTCACTCTGCAAACCAATTAATAAATATGGTGAAAGGTTTCAACTCTGCCACTCTTCCTACTTTTAATCCATGAACTATGCCCTTGTTCTTTTTAGACAACTGTCTTGATCTGTTTACAAGTTCTGCATGAGTACAATTAGGTGTATTTTTTTTCATGCTATCATACTTTTTATGTGATAAGTTTTAATACACTATTCTCTTCCTTGAATATAATTTTGTTTTTGTTTTTAATCATTTTTGGGGGGGTTCTTAAAACTACTATAACAATTCATAAATCAATTATATCAAGCAAACTTGTGCATATGTTACCATCACCATTTTCAAAACATTTTTGGTATCAGCTCCTCTTTTTTCCTTCCCTTCCCCACCCTCGTGAACCCTTGATAAATTGTATATTATTATTATTTTTAATATCTTTTTAATAAATCATTTTATTGGGGACTCGTACAAGCCTTATCACAATCCATATATGCATCCATTGTGTCAAGCCAATTAGGTGTATTGGTATTCCCATTCTTCTCAATGATATCCATACTTTGTCATGATCTTCACAAATGCCTTTGCATAGTAAATAAATTCAAGTAAATATCTTGTTTTCTCTGCTTTCAGCTAAGACCACAGGCATAGAAGTTAGAATATATAACACATATATTTGCATTATACAATTCAATCCATGACAAAGGAATTTTTTCATAAAAAAAGAGATAATAATGTAGTTTAATTCAATAGTATTCTTGCCATAGTTCCTTGTTGGAGAAGAGAAACAATATAATTTTCACATCTCTTCTCTTCTATATAGTTGGTTTAATAATAGATAATCAATTTGAGACCTTATTTAATTTGATTAAACTACTCTCTATAATCTCACTTATAGAGCCAAAGAATAGAGAAGAAGCATGTGAAGTGTTTTTAAAAGTTGAACTCAACATATTAAGATTGCCTGTTTATTTTCTGTATTCATTATATACTGTATGAATTAGAAAATAGTAATGAACATATTATAAATTATTGAAGCTAAGAAATTTAAAGTTATAGCATTGAAATATATATTACTAATGCACATTTTGTTTTTTTTTCTTAGTTTGCATAAACATCTCATTGAACATTTAAATGCAGAGATAGTATTGCACACCATCACAGATGTGAACATTGCTTTGGAATGGATACGCTCAACCTTGCTTTATATCAGAGCCTTGAAAAATCCATCTCATTATGGTTTGTTACTTTGACTTGAAAAAGCAATAATTTTTCAAACCATTTGGGCCTATATTTTTACTAACAGAATGCCTTATAGATTGCAGAAACTAATAGGCAGCAGAAAATCTAACAACAAATACATTTAGAAAATGATCACACAAAAGTGAGAAATCTTTCTGTGCTTTAAAGTCTTTCAATGAGGTTTGAAATTAGTACTATTAAAAATGAAATGTAGTACATAGCTTTTAGAAAACATTAACTCCAATACAGGCCAAAAAATGCTTAAAATTAAACTAAAGTTTTAAAACGTTTTAAATTTTGTCTGTACTTTGTGTTCAGCAGTGTCTTTTACTGAATTTGCAACTGTTCACTTAACAATTTATAAGAAATAAACGCATGCCACTACTGTTTTTGCTGGATTTTTCATCCTGCTTTTAAAGCTAATACACATCTGGTTATTTTTAAAAGGTTCTATTATATGGTATAGGGTATGCAATTGAAATATGTAGGATTGCTAAATATCAAATTAAAACCTGATTTATTGCCATACATTTCTAATGTACATAGTTTTAAATTTTGGGGATCTTCAAGGAGAATATAAAAGTTTTATTAAAAGTATATCTATATAAGTATCATTTAAAATTTTCACTAAATTGTATATTTGTTTGGTAAAAAATGATAAAGTTTAGAAGTGTATGCAATTAAGTCTTCATCTCTATGTGCCATCCTTACCATGCAGTCGCCATCTCTTTCCCTCTTCTCCCCTCTCTGTCATCACTGATGGTGCCTTTCTTTTAAATGCATGTAAAGACATGTACAAAAATATAATTTTACCTTTCCACTGTTAACCAAAGTGAAAGCATACAGTGTTACTTTCTTTTGCTGTGTAATAGAGTACCCTAAAACGTAGTGGCTTGAGACAACAAGAGCTTATTATTTCAAAGTTTCTGAGTGACAAGTGTGTTAGCTAAGTAATCCAGGGTCAGTATCTTTCTTGAGGTTGAAACCAAGATATGTCAGCAATTTGAAGGATTTCCCGTCCTCTGAAAGCTTTGTTGAAGCTGGAGAATTGATTTCCAAGAAGGTTCTATGGCAGAGCTGTTGGTTAGGGGCCTCAATTCTTCCCTAACCATTGACAGGAAGCCTCAGTTGCTTGCCAAGTGGATATCTTCTCATGACATAATAGCTGGTTTCCTCCAGGCCTCGGTGCAAGCAATCCATGACCAAATTGGAAGCTGCATTGCCTTTTTTGGACCTTGTCTCAAAAGTCACACACTATCACTTCTAATTAATTCTGTTTATTAGAAGCAAGTCAGTAAGTCCTGGCCAACAGTCAAGGAGAGAGAAATTAGACTCACCTTTTGGAGGGAAGAGAATCAATGAATGTGTGACCTACTTTTAAACTATCACTGTTTTTCTGTTTTGCTCCTTTTTTCCTTATTATATCTGAGAACCATTTTTTAAACAGCTAAATAGTATTGCATTTTTTTATTTTGTTTTTTATCATTTTATTGGGGGGCTTGTACAACTCTTTATCACAATCCATACATCCATCCATTGGTTGTATCAAGCATATTTGTACTTACATTTGTTGCCATCATCATTTTCAAAACATTTTCTTTCTACTTGAGCCCTTGGTATCAGCCCTTCATTTTTTTTACCCCTCCCTCCCTCACAAACCCTTGATAATTTATTATTATATTTTCATGACTTACACTGACCAATGTCTTCCTTCATCCACTTTTCTGTTGTTCATCCCCCTGGAAAGGGGTTATAGTAGATCATTGTGATCAGTTCCCCCTATCTTCCCCCACTTTCCCTTTCCTCTCCTCCTTTTCCCCTATCGCTACTCTCAATATTGGTCCTGAGGGATTTATCTGTCCTGAATTCCCTGTATTTCCAGATTTTGTCTGTACCTGTGTACATGCTCTGGTCTAGCCAGATTTGTAAGGTAGAATTGGGGTCATGATAGTGGGGCGGGAAGCATTAAAGAACTAGAGGAAAGTTATATGTTTCATGGTGCTATACTGCACCTTGACTGGCTTGTGTAGTATTGCATTTTATCTATGTAGTGTGATTTATTCAAACAATCCCCAGTCGATGGGCATTTACATTTTTAAAATATAATTGCAAAAGAAACTTTGCATTTTCTACATATTTGAGTATACCTATATCAGAAGTTTCTGTAAATACAACTGTGGTGTCTAAATGCCTTGCCATTGAGTCAATTCCAAGGGGGTTACCTCATGTACAGAGAACAACTGCGCTCCATAGGGATTTCTTGGCTGTAGTCTACACTGAAGCAGATCACCAGGCCTTTTCCAAAATGCTGCTGGGTGAGAGGTTTGAACGCCAATCTTTTGACTAGTGGCTAAGTGAAACCATATGTACCACTTGTTGCCAAATTGCTGCCTTAATAACTTACTCAGCCACTAGCCATGTTTGAGAAAGCCACTATTATTTTATTTAATAGTATTTTCAGAGGATGTACTTTAGGGACTTTTATCAGTATCATATGTGAATGTTTTTATCTCTATAATGTGTTAATTTGAGTTTCTTTCTCATAGTTACTTTTACAAGGGGCTTCAAAAAGTTTGTGGAAAATTCTATCTAAATCCATTTTTCCATAAACTTTTTGAAGCTCTCTCATATTAGTAGGTCCCCCCACACACACACACATGTCTAATTGACACGATTGTTATTAGTTATTTTGGGGTGCTCTTGTGTTGGTTCCAACACATAGTGAGCCTTATGTACAACAGAATGAAAGCATAGCCTGGTTTGGTGCCATCTTCAGAATGCTTTTGCTTGAGCCATTGTGGCATTCACTGTGCCAATCTTAAGGGTCTCCCTCTTTTTCCTTGACACTCTACTTTACCAAGCATGATGTCCTTTTTCACGGACTAATCTCTCCTGATAACATAAACAAAGGTTGTAAGATGAAGTCTAGCTATCTTCTCTTCTAAGAGGCATTCTGGCTGTGTATCCGGGATGGTTTAAGTTTGTTCTTTAAGCAATCTTTCATTATTCTTCATCAGCCCCATAATTCAAATGCATTGATTCTACTTTCATCTTTCATACTCAGTATCCAACTTTCGCATGCATATGAGGTGATTGAAAATACCATGGCTTGAGTCAGGCGCACCTTAGTGCTCAAAATGACATCCTTGCTCTTCAAACTTTAAAGAGGTCTTATGTAGCAAATTTTCCCAAGGCAGTGCATAATTTGATGTCTTCATTGCTGCTTCCTGAGCATTGATTGTAGATCCAAACAAGATTAAATTCTTGACAATGTCAATCTTTTCTGTGGTTGTCATGATGTTACCTTTTGGTCTAATTGTGAAGATTTTAAGTATTTTTACATTGAGTTGTAATCCATAAAGCCTGCGATCCTTTATCTTCATCAGCAAGTGTTTCACTTCCTCCCCACTTTCAGTAAGCAAGGTTGTTATCATCTGGATATTGCAGGTTAAAGATAAGCCTTCCTCCCATCTTGATGCCGCATTCCTTTCATATAGTGAAGCTTCTCTGATTATTTGCTGAGCATACAGATTGAATAAGTATGGTAAGAGGATACAATCCTATCACACCCATCTCCTGATTTAAACCATGCAGTATGCCCATGCCCTTGTTCTGTTCGAACAACTACCTCTTGATCCCTGTATAGGTTCCACATGAGCGCAATGTAATGTTCTGTAATTCCCATTCTTCTCAACGCTATCCATGGTCTGTTATAGTCTATACAGTTGAATACATTTGCCAATAAAACACAAGTAAATATCTTCCTGGTATTTTCTGCTTTAAGCCAAGATCCATCTGTTGTCTGCAGTGATTTCTCTTGTTCCAGGTTCTCTTCTACATCCAGCCTGAACTTCTAGAAACTTTCTGTGGGGGTATTCTGCAACCATTACTAAATGGTCTTTAGCAACATTTTACTTGCATGTAATATTAATGATATTGTTTGACAATTTCCACATTCTGTTGGGTCATGTTTGGAATGGGTATAAATATGGATTTTCCAGGCAGTTTCCCTGTCTTTCAAACTTCTTGGCATAGACTAATGAGTGTTTCCAGTGCTTCATCAGCATGATGAAACATTTCAATTAGTATTTGATCAATCCTGAAGCCTTGTTTTTCGCTAATCTCTTCAATGCAGCTTGGATTTCTTCCTTCTGTACCATTGGTTCTTTTTTTATATATAATGGGTGGTGGGGAGGAAGCATTTAGGAACTAGGAAAAAGTTGTATATTTCATCATTGCTACATCACACCCTGACTGGCTCGTCTCCTCTCTGAGACCCTTCTGTAAAGGGATGGCCAGTGGCCTACAAATGGGCTTTGGGTCTCCACTCTGCACTTCCCCCCTCATTCGCTATGAAAAGATTTTTTGTTCTGATGATGCCTGGTACCTGATC